GGTGCATTGAGTGGTTGTACTTGATGCAATATAAACTTGTTATTTTTGTAAGCTTCAAAGTCATTGTGACTTTTAACAGCAACTGTTTTACAAATTGTAACCTTTTCTTTTTCAGAAGTCGCCATTGCCACCGCAGACACCCCCACCAAGTCCTCTGGTAAGTAGCAAAGCATATTTCATCGCGAATTCCAGTAAAATAGGAGGTTCTGTACATTGAAGAAGGTGGCGTACATCCATTCTACTCTTTCTACTTCTATGTAGGAAACCTATCCGAGGAGATGTACACCGTGACACTCATCCCTGTCCCAGCTGCAAGCACCTATTCACTCCTTACACCATCGGCTGCGTCCCAGCCAGGGAAGAGGAAGAAGGGTTAGTGTTTTGTTTGTGTGATTCATTACATTTTAAATAATGAGTGTTGAGTGTTATTTGCCCTCTGGCATCATGGTTTATAATAATAGCACTTGTCATTTAAATGCACCTTTCAAGGAACCCAAGGTCATTTTACATATACAGCAGAAATACAAATACAACACAATTCACAGATATCTTAAGGAAACCGTCTTTCCATAAATAGGGTGTGATTTGTCATAAAGTCACAGCTGGACGCTAACAAAAAATATTACGAAAGTTATTTAAGTTACATAATACATTTTGACATACCGTACTCCATATTTGAAGTCAGTAGATCAGGAACATGAAGGGCAAAAATCATCTATAGCCCACAGAGGTTGTGATGCTATCTATGCCCCAGTCTCTACCGTCACTTACATTTAACTTTCTTACATCTGTCACAGGTTTGCCCACAGAGCGCTCCCCCTCTCCAAGACTTGCTACCTCTGTAGCAAATGGGTGTAGCAGTACCACAGGTGAAGGGATGAAGAAGAAGAATAAGGGTATGTTTTGTTTTTGTGGTACATCCTACTGAACAAATAAATAGCTGTATTCTCCCATTCACGCGCAAGTCCTTTTGCACACCACAAGTTACGCACATTTCAGACAAGATATCAGATCCAGGTTTCCATAATCCCTCTCTTTTTTAATAACCATAAAAACCATAAGGTTTGCTCAATGACTTGTCTTTATTTATAAGGTGGTTAGAAATTATGTTTCATGAAAT